TTCAGATGGATACTCTCGTCCCTTACTATGATTTTATTGCTATACATGATGACCAGAAGCAGTATCGATCAGGGATATCCAGGCTAAAACAGTGGTTCATACCTTCTTCGACTGATGGACAGCAAACTTCGGCTGCCTTCCAATAATAGCTACATGCTATTCAGGCTGTTCCGATGCCTTGATCGCCTCCTAGGGATATTAATATCCTGTTAACCCACACATTATCCACAAGCTAAGGGTTCAGGTGCACGATTTCGCCTACTGTTAAAAGTCTCACTTCGGCTGGTAACGTGTCACAGTGAAATAAAACTTTTTCACATAGTTTACTCGGAATTCACGTGGCAGTAGAAGTAGAAGTTATGTGCTGTGCAGATGAACTCCTTTGTGAACTTTTTAACTTTCGGAAGAAATCATGTATCCTTCAACTTCTCCTATGAGTTTGGATCTAAACTCTTAAGCGAGGAGGCTCACCAATGAAGTGCGTTCAGTCAGAACTGTCTCTCATTCAATCTTAATCAAATGATGATTACATACTAGCCTACTTCTGACTAAACACACACGCTTTTCTACATTAAGACTCATTACGCTGATCACTGCAGTATATCTTCCAAGGACATTACGAAGATCTTCTTTGCAAAGCATTATATCACTGTTAAGAATGAGACTAAAGATATCAGTTTTGGACGGCTTAAACCCTGTTACTTGGACAGAATCATCTATTCCATCACCCGTTCTACTGCAACACAGGGCAAAAACATCCCTATGACTGAGACGAAACATCTGATAAGTAACGGTTAGAATGAGAATTCAGCCTGTACTGAATCAGAATATTTACTCATACCTAAAACAGAATTAGTGAAGATACCTCTCCGTACACATTTTATGACCTTCTCCAAGTTTTCGACTAAATATTCAGGTCTTTTAAGTTATTGAATGTTCAACTTTATCGATTATGGTGATAGGAATCAAGACGACCATAAGATAACTTAAGGACTTCTAAGAAATTTGGGTGACAACTGTCAGCTTCTTACCCTAATATCTCGTTTCCCATGTTGTGCGGCTATAAGGTTTCATTTTCAGTTTTTATCGCGTAGAAAACAAAAAATTATTCCAAAGCATACTTATGTAAGTTATGAACAACTAAGAACTTTCACGGAGTATTTCTAAAAGTAAATACACGAATGAGACTTGCTGTTTGATGAGTAATCATTAAGGTTTGATTTTCTTGAATAAGGCTCAACAACTATACAAGTTATTCCAAACAGCTTCAGAAGGACAAGTCAGGTAAACAATCTAATAAACAAATTTTGCGGTCCACGTTACACTTAATCATCAGTTATACAGTTCACAACAATTTCTTCCACCCTAAAAAGCAACTTGCCTTGCTCCTTGGTTGTATAGAAAACAGTGCATGAACTATGTGATTTCACATTTAGAAAGGACTACCATGCATCCTAGATACAGGTGAGTCTCAATTGTAGATGGTGAAGTACAGTTGTGTGAACGTTCCTAGCCGAAAAGCAAGCCACAGTCTCTAGTCGATGTCAAGCATGGTATATTCTGTCGTAATCTGTAAGTAGAGAACCTGATTAATCGTCCTTGAGCATTTGTCTCTCTTCTGTACATTTGAACCATTTAACTGTGAGCAATTTTCGAAATGTCCAAGGTCATTTGCTGTTACTGTAATATTCAGTGATAGTTGTTTGCGACTTGAAATTTCCATCTTCATTTCAAAGAAGTGTAATAAAAAACCAACAAAATTTTCCTGCCCTTTTTTGTCTTTTTTCAAGTAACTTCCCACTAAGTACATCCTTGGGTACACTACCAAATACTTAGAACCTTACCGAATGAACAAGAATCGAACTCAAGGAAATCATTTGTTTTATTCTAGCTCATGAAAAAGATATTAGACATTGTAATGTTAGATTGTCTTAATTTCACGTGTGCACTATTTCTAAATGCTATGCAGAGCTTTCCTAATCACGTTTGAGTGATTTTTGTTATAACGCTCTACGTCTGTTGTTCTCGCCTTTATGTGTAATATAGTCACTTTGGAAGACGTTGAACTTCGCCTGAATTTCACACCTGTGTATCACAGTCTACTATGTAGAATGCCATTTTAGGTTCTAAACAATATACACCAAGTAGTTCTACTATTTCTGCTACGTGCAAAATGTTAACTTTTAGATGCTAGATCGCTTACTGCGGCCAACGAATAAATACTTTTAAATAACGACAAATCTCGACTTTATCACTTATAGCAGTGGCGAAACTACACAAAAAGGAAGTCAGGAGAATGGATCCTGTTTTTTCCTTGTCTGCAGCTTCTTAGCAATCTAGTCCGTTCTCACGTTTGCCTATCTCATTGACTTATGCTTGCCTGTGGTATTAATTACTACAAACTGCAATTGATAAAAGTGATAATTTCGAATGGAGTATGATTTAGAGTCGCTAGTTGGTCAGTCATTATCAACATACCACAACAGAACAAAGTCATAACGACAGAACTAAACACTAACTGATTTGTTAATACCCATTGGTTTTCATTAAGCCGGACCAAGTGTAAAGCCTCTGATACTCTTATCTTCAGGAATCTTATATACACCACACCACTTATAAGATTTCTCAATGTCTGTAATTCAGTCTTTCTCGATTCCTCTTCCATTAGAAATACGCCAGTTTGTTGTACATTTTAGTTTTCTTATTACATCTACTTTTTAAATCGCCATTATTTTTAATAAGCGAAACCGCGATTTGTCGACGTAGCGGATCTAAATATCTTATTTTATACAGCAACATATTGTTTTCTCACTGTAGTTTCTGATTGTTTATTCTGTTGATAGAGGGTTTCTGGTCCACCTAAACCTGTCTTAATACACCCATTACGTCTGTATAGCGACTGTATGCCCCAACATTTCTAAAACATACTACTTATGTCCTTTGTGTACCCTCATACTTTATAGGAATGCAACTACTAATCATTAGTTTATGTTAAACGCACGTTTCGTCAAGATATGGCTCTGGATCTCTCAAGCGTAAATGACACTTCCTTCGAAGAAAATGATCCAAATACGACGTATAATTGCGTTCTTCTGTCTTCAGAAGTTATTTCTTTTCCTGGGACTAGTGATATTCTCTTTTATATATCTGAAATAGGTAAGTGTTTGCAACCTATTTCAACCTTCAGTAAACAGTTTTCGTAGTTAGACTTATGTGGTTGTAACATCAGTAAATATAATGCAATAGCAGTTCATATTACAATGCTCCCTACTATGTTTCATACACTGATTAGATTAATTGAAAAATAGTCCAAGTGTCCTACAAACTGATAAGAGTGTAGATATGTAAGGACGATAGTTTCCTAAGTACCTATTGTCTGACTCAATACTTTAGTCTCTAGGTAAACACAACCATGCAAAATTTTTAAAGATCCGACCAACTAAAAGCTTTAGATTTCTAAGCGCAGTACCATGATGTTTTTGCTATCAAACCTTCTATTAAATAGTAATTGTTGTTAGTATATTTATCGGTCTTCTTCATAGAACGAGCCCATGTAACAGTAGTTTTTTACGCGGACTGTATTTCCGTTCCATAAACTAACTGCCTTCTAATTTTGATTTATAAAGATGGAATCAAAAGTGCTCTGCATAATAAGATTATAGTTTGAACAAAATAATGAAGCATTATCTTTATGGCAAGATGTACTTAAGCTACTGAATCTAGTTTTGCTTATTTGTTTTTAATTTTGACGATGCAAAGTATGTTTCAAACAGCGTCTGGCGCGAATTCACTGTTGATATAGATTATGACATGTATACGGGTTGTATAGGCACCCATGATCAGTTCAGTTTTTAAATAAAATTGGATCTATTAGCGTAGCCGTGTTCGTGAGGTCCAGTTACGTTACTGGTGCATATCCATAAACATGATGAATATTTTGGATCCAACCAAAATACAGTCTAGCTTTTTACGATTGTGTACTTCCTCAAGCTGGGACGACTTGTAGCCAACTTTTATTCTACTATCAAACACTGTTTCAAGGTCAGTAAAACAGTTATCTTACTTCATAGTAATGTAATACTCAGTGTAGCGTATGTTTTAACTAATTTCATCGGTTTCGAAGTGTGGATTTTATTTTTCCTTGTAAGATGTCTGTGATTATTCTTCCTAAAATGGTTATTTGTATTGCTCAAGAAGTTGATTTTCCTTTTGGATTTACACTTTGAGGTTATTTTTTTCCAATGGACTCAGAACCCTTTGGTTATGGTTGCTTGAGGGGTGCTCAGGCTAATGATTGCTTGGGAGTATTTTGTTCAGCATCTTGTGTTTTCGTAGATCATTAGTTTTCTTTTTATCTACCTTACTGAATGTATCGCCGAAACTTAGCCAGTCATCTACAACGTAGAACTTTGTACGTACGTACATCAGTTCCAGTTGCCCGACCGCATTAGTACAGAGATTGAATCGCCAACTCAAATCCCGTAGTTTTAGTGATGTTATGAGTATTAGCAGTAATGGAGAATATTAGAATTCAGAGATATGATTTTGGAAGTATAATCCAGTCAAATAAATTTAAAAAGAGAGAAAACGTCATGAAGAATTTGGAAGATTAGAATTTGAGTGCAGAAAATGAATGGATGGATCTACGCCATCGCAACCGATTTTAAGCTGTCATTCAAAGCCTTCAACTATTGATTACTATCACCTCGTGGACTACAACCAGGTAATCTATACCTAAAAACATGGCTCAGTCTAGTTGTCAGTAATTCCATGGATTCGTGCTGTTTTGGTCTGACCTCCCCAGCTTTCTTCCAGCCTACCTCTACATTAGACAACATCGCCCATCGAAGTAGTCGGTGGTTGGACATTCGTAACACATGTCTCAACCACCTCAACTGACGAAGTTTGAATACTTCATCTATTGATCTACCACCTTTTCCAAGGACCCGTTTCCTAAAAACAGCATTGATTACTTGATAGTACCAGGATATACGAGCAACGCTCCTAAGACACTTACCGAAACCAAACTATTTGGAGCCAATTTTTTGAATAAATTGGAAAAAATCCTAGCGCTTCTTAAAAGCACTTATTGGTTACAACTCACTGTTTCGACAGTCCGGTTTATAGTCTTCAAGTTTTCTGTGTAAGATTTTTCAAGAGCAAGAGCACAAGTGTCTTTCAGGGTCATCTACGAGTTGATAACTTCTTGAACAGTAGCAGTGACTGACTACTGCAAAGAATTAGTGTGTTCCATTCCAGAAGTTGTGGTAGGGAACGAAAATTTTATCAGCTGTGTGGTACTTTCATTGTGTACCTAGCTTCACATAAATAGATGAAGAAGCGTGTGTATATTGAACTGGTTAATCAAGATAGTCTTTCTTTTATAGATATATGTGCCAGCAAGCATGGAATGTAGGATATTCTCAATGGAGCTATTTAAAATATTTTTCACGATAATCTAGTCATACAACCCTTTATTATTTCATCTACACTATCGATATATGTTTTCTCTAGTGATTTCATGATGTACTGATAACCCCTAATTCACTTTAAATTTCTTTTGATAAACCATGGACAGTAGCAGCTTCCATAAATCTTTATCATATTCATGTTCTTTTTCTGTACTTCTTTCTCTGAGGTAAAAACAGTGTATGAGATTTTCTGTCTATCATCCCTAAGTTTCATGCTGTTTTCTCTCTAAATATACCACATTCATACCCTCGACGTTCCTCTTTGTGGGTGTAATATCTAACATAGACTGGACTCTCCAAATTCACGTGTGTACTAATCAACAAAATCGGTCTTTATTTTGTTTTATATTCGCACAATTGTATTGCTTGTGAAGATGTTTTAACTTAATTGGGACCATGAATATAATAAATATATCTTACTGTAAACATATTCCTAAACCAATCCCATTGAATCTCCATTCAATTATTTTTTTTTTTAAAATACAATAATCTAAACCGCATAGGTCATTTAATTCTGGCAAACTTCTTCGTTGAACATTCCAATGGAAGTTACATACTTAAAAAAGTTCCACATATCAAATTCCCTCATGATTCTTCTGATTTACCAACAAATCTATCTTTGGATAAAAGTTTCTCAAATCAAGAAAATACCCCATCACAACCATCAGTAAATGATTGTTCAAATGTATTGGATTTAAACATTCCTAGTAAATTTGGACATATGGAAACAGATATACAGTCTTCAGCTTTAGACTGCACAAATATTTGTCATGTTCAAACATGTTCACCACAAACTCTAGTTAATTCATCATCATTGAATATTTCAGATTTAGAAAATCCAGTTGATGCTACTACCACTCATCGTTCACAGCATGGAAACAATTCAGTTAATATGAATAAAAGTAAAAATTCATCATCTTGCATACCAAGATCAAAATTTTTAGGACAAATCGGTAACTAAAATTGTTGCTTTCATACTTTAAAAATACTGACTATTATGGGTTGCTTTTTTTCCTGTTTAGTTTTATAATATTAAAGGCGATCGGTTGCTACCTTGACATTTGATTTTTTTTTTGATTAATTAATCTCCGATTGCTGCTAGTGATCGTCGGTAATTGAGTAGGATTTAAGTTAAGATATAGATGATCTAGGGATATCCATTCATTTGTAATCGGTAACTCTCCTGATAAATAAGTCATTTTGCTTGTAATGAAACATAAAAATCACAGCATAAACCACTCAAAACACTCCAAAATTTCCTAGTCCATAGCTGAAGTTCTCATGTTGCAAACATGATACAAAATGTACAATTCCAATTAGTGTAAGTGAAATCTTTGTAGAAAAAAAACGTTTCAATTGTTTTAACATAACGTTTAGCCCAGTAAATGTGTCTAGATATTTTCAGGATATTAATAAAAATTTGATGGACAATTTACCAAGGTGAAAAATAATTCTTTACTAAAATGTTAGTTTTTGTATAGTAATAGAATATAAGTCATCAAGTGCGAAAAAATAAGTAAGCATCTGTATTCGCCTTCATGTTATCAATAATTAGAATTTTTGGTAAATAATTGAGGTTTGCCCTGCGTCAACGTCATATCCATCGTCTTATTAAAAACAAGCAGTACAAATAAACAAACTTAGGTCGTCGAAGTATATGTAGAATGGGAAGTGTCGAAAAAATAGTTGTGATGCTAATCTAGTCGACCTTGATGATAGTAATCAATGGTTAGAGACCCTGAATGACATGGCTCAAAACCGTTTGCCATGGCGCAGGTGCATTCATTTTTTGTTCTCTCAAATCCTAAACTTTTTGATTCTTCATCGCTTTATCTTTTTAAGTCTATTTCACTAAATTCTACTTCTTGAATAATATCCTCGAACCGTAATCTTCCCGATTACTGCTTAAACTCTTACTACCTCTACTACTATGGGATTTGAAATGACAATTATATCTCTGTGCTAATGTGGTATAGCAACTTGAACTGACGTATGTACGTACGAAGTTCTACGTTGCTGTTGATTACTTGATTAAGTCGACCTTGAGCTAGTGTAAACTTTGCTACTTCTGGTCTGCCTATACGAACTCCTTTCCCAGGTATATGCAAATAGACCATAAATAGCTGTGAACTGGGCAAACTGTAAATAATTGATTAACAATAATCCAGGATTATTAAAACATGTAATAATGGTTAATGGATCACAATTGGGAGCTTACAATAAACAGAACATAGAAGTCCAGATATATCTAATAACTAAATATAAACAATAATAGTATGTTCTAACTTTTCCAATACTCGTTCCGTTATCACACCATATTGGCTAATAATAAAATAATTAAACTTAACTATTATTCAACCTGTCTACATTACTCGTACTTTGTTCCTGACAGACAAATTATTTATAATAATTAACATTACAACTATTTAATTGACTTTTCTCATTCTACGTACATTTGTACAATTTGTTTTTGATAAACAAAAGACAAGCTTCCTGAGCAAATAGTTGGAATTACTTGAATTTCAACCACTCAAATTATTTCAAAACAACTTTTACACATAATATATTCTTTATTGTTATGAAAAGGTGTTAGTTTGCTCTTAGTAAGGTGGTAGTCTATGATCTGTAGTCAAAATGATTGTGAATTGTAATTTTTTATCTGTTTTATTTGAAGCGTTATTAAAATATATTTACTACTATAGCTGATAGCATTGTTTCCTATTAAGAGGAAGTTGATTTTACAGTAATACCCTGTATTTTTGTTATTATGTCTACTAATTGTGCATAGACTTCGAAGTGTGCTTAATTAAGGTCATGTCTTGACTGACAACAGAATCCAGAAATTCTGCTGTTTAATCAACTACTTGTAAAGTTGATAAATAACTTAAGTTATTCAGTCTAACATTTGTACACATTTTTATAGGAGAAAAAACTGTAGTAAAATCACTATTGGGGAAGGATCCGAACCAGGATAAAATTTGACAGGATAGCAGTTTACTTAATTTCGACATATGCATCATTTGATGTGTAATAATTTATTTTCATTAATATCTTTAAATAAAATTCATTCAAACGTTTCTTATTTTTATACCTTATCGGATGTTTCATCATTTTTTGTAGTTTGTGAACTTCTTCAAAAAATGAAAAATCGTACAAAATCATCTGAAAATCATGAAATCATCATTCAAGGGCATAATTTAACTGAATTGGAGCATTTTGTTAAACGCTTACGAGAGTTTCGTTTACGTTTAGGTCTTTCACAAGTTCAACTAAGTACAGAATTATCAAAACATTATAACTCTAAAGCTTTATTTAGTCAAACTCTTCTATCAAGGTGAGCTTGCTTTTATTTTTTCAAAATTAAAATATTCTGAAAAAAATATATAGAAACATTTAGTTTACTTTTCATTTTTAAATATGTTTTTTTGGTACTCGTTTACATTGTAACTAGTATAAAGAAGTATAGAAATGTGTTTGATCCCTTATGTGTAAAACTAACTTTCGCATTCTTTCCCAACCTGATATTGTGTCATATTTTGTACGACTCTCTTGCCTTGAAGTTTTATTGTCGGAATTTTTTTATGTTTACTATCCTTCCTTATTTTATTGGTTTTAGTTGTTTTTGCATTGTTTGTAACAAATAGTTACTTGAAACTTAAGTTGCTTCTCACTTTAATTATTGTAAATTTTCTTTTCGAAAGTTAGACACAAACTCTCTTATTGTTTCTTCGATATGCAAAACTTTGATTTGCTAATCGACTCTACCAAGGATATTTTTTATGAGAATATGTCAATATTTGTAAATAAAATCTTTAACACTAAAAACCATTGAGTTGGGTTTTCTTATCGGATACTCATTCACCAACTTATCAAAGACCGCCTAGTTCAACATTGGTTTGTGTTTATCAGCGTATTTACTCTTGCGGAGCGGAATACTCCAACCATATGAATCTTGAAGTCTATCCATCATGTATGTATAGCATGGACTATTTCGTTTTGATACAGCCCAGTTTGTCAACTCGGATCATTTATTGCTGTTAAAACAATTATCAATCTTCTAGTCGAATTTCATACTATCGAAGTGTTACCAACTCAGATTTTCAAGACAATCATAGTTGTCCTAAAGAAATATGCACAACTACATTCACTGTAGTGTTGTTGTTCTGAAGAAAAACACCGACAATTTTCTTGCACTGTGTTTATGATTGTATCGTAATTTTTGGTATACTAATGACATTTTTATTCCACATTGATTTCTTCCTTTAAATTGTCACTCTATTCCTATTATGTAGTAATCATTGACTCCTCATCGGATATTTATAGATTTTTTCCTATACTTTTCACCATTTATTAACGACTGTACGACTACGAAAATGTGTTTGTAGAAAAGAGAATTCCCTTCTCCATATCAGTATTTTTTTGAGAATAAGGTCAGTATGGATTTACTTAACTCATTCACTCAACCATATGAATAATCAGTTAGCTCATCATCTTAGTACATTGACTGATATACAACATGTAGAGCGGTGGCCTAGTGGTTAAAGTACTTAACATCTAACCAGTTGGGTGCTGATTCGAATCTTACTCCATCTACTGAAATTTGGGCTGTCGAGTAGTATCAATAAGCGTCACACAAATGGTATGACTCATAATAATATGCATAAACCTAGACTTTGTCACGAGTTATATCAGTCACACAACGTAAAGATCTTTGTGCTCATCTCAAGTGGTATCCTGTGTATAAAATAATGAACTTCTTCAAGTACATTCAGAAATAAATAAAATCAGATCTACTTGCTTGTAAAATTAATATTTCAATGACATTTTCTTCGTAAATTTTTTTATTAGGTTCGAGAAACTCAATGTCACTGTTAGATCTGCTTATCGACTTTTGCCCTATTTAAAACGTTGGATTTCACATACTGAGCAAAATCAATGTGGTCAAATCACTGTTGAAAAATTATCCGTTTTTCATCATTCTGTTCCTGTACGTGCTGTAGGCAATTCCCGTTTAACTACATTGGCTCGTTTAGGTCGCTCCGATCATAATCCTTCATCGTCATCTTCTACAACTTCATCTGTTTTAGCTCTTGTAACGAAACAAGTAATTATCTCATTTTAGATTTTGCTTAAAATAATAGATTGCTCTAATTCTTATTGAAATTGTTTTAATATCCACATGAAAATGTGTGTAGACATACTCAAGTAGAAGAGCTTTCGTTATGTAGGTAAAAGGGCAAAAGACTGGGATATTTATCAATCAGTGCTCCTGTGAAAAGATTGTTTTACAAATAATCCTTTTTATTTGAAATGATAAAAAGATATCACTTACTTTCAAATGCTAATCTTTAAAGATCTTTGTGAATTTTCATTCACTGTAAACACATAGTGGTATAAAATCAGTTTGATTAAGCATAGTCTTTTACTTTGTATAACTAAAATTTCACGAATTCTAACATCTGAACTACTTGCCAAAATGGTCAGTAAGTGTAGTTGATTCTTGTCTGTCTATTAGTGCATACTTTGAAATACACATACAACTTCTCAGTGCATTTATTTTAGGAAACTGTGTTGATAAAATATATAACGACGCATCATTAGTACATGTTCAGAATATCATCCAAACCCAAATGATGTTAGCAGTCACTAATTATTTATATTAGTTTTAACGGATTAAACTTTGATGCTCAACTGTGCTACCATCTTACTTTGTGAATCCCAACAATAGGTTTTAAAATAACTCAACTATTTTAGTCAAACCTCTTAAGCACTAACATAATATTTTAATTTTTAATTTTACTTCATCTAAGAACATATCATATTTTATAACTCGTTCACTCTAGCAAAATTTATTCCTACAAATCAAATACTTGGTCTTTGCTGAATCCGATCAGCGAATTTATGGTTCTAGACGCTTACTGATAACATGGGTTTGTGACATCTTGTTATAACATATCGCCGTCGAGAATTTCATAGCGGAGTACACACCAACTCTGATAAGAGAAATTCGTAATGGTTAGATTAACAAATGACTGTGTTTCGTCCTACATCAAGCTACTGAACTGTTATTCAGTCTATTTTCTGTGTATGTATTGCGCAATGGGTACTTAATTTATTTGCTTCAAAATGATCATGTTTAGTTTGATTATTGCTGAAAATTTAGGGATAGCTCTAGGAACATTAAGAAATACTGATGTTAAATTTATCCGCATAGAATAAGGGGAACGTGACCAGCAGTAGAATCCACTAATCGCGTTCCGTTCTATTTGATACCCTAATTTCCAAATACTTATCTACAGATTAAAATAAACCATTGGAAAGAGAACCCAATGTTTACAAAACTTCGTTTTACAGTCACCGAATTCAAGCTTAGAACCAATTACATCTACTACAGTTTGGGTAGAATCGCTATTCTTCATGTAAAACGTTCTACTCGAAATTGCTTGTATTTACCTGTATTTGTTTTTTAAGGGTAGACTGATGAGAATTTAAAAAAAAAAAGAAATTGGTTGCAATACTGATATAAGATATCCAAGAAGGCTATAAAATCTAATCCTAGGAATAAAATTTTCTTTCAAATATCTTTTATCTTTTTTATTAAGTATTGGCGTTTAAGTTAATTTTTTTGTTTATTACTTGTTGTTTTACCAGAATGAAATCTATTTTCAGCAATCCATTTTTGGGAAAGTACGAAATTTCTGTGATAACTGTATAGATTATTTTACTCAGTATGATTTTAACATTTCTACAATTACTATTTATTAATATTTAAGTCTTGCTGTGGGAGTCCACTACCGACATGACTCAGTCATTGACAAGTGAACTGAGTCATATCGGTAGTTGTCGACTACCTGGTTGGGGTCCGCGAAATGATAATAATCGATGGTTAGAGACCCTGAATGACATGGCTCAAAACTGTTTGCAATGGCGCCGGTGCATTTATTCTTTGTGTTCTCTTAAATCCTAATCTTCTGGATTCTTCAACACCTCTAGTTTTGTCTTTCTAAACTTATCTCACTGAATCATACTCCTTGAATAATATCTTCTAATCCTAACCTCTCCGATTACTTCAAATACCTTTACTACCTCTACTGCTATTGCATTTGAATTGACAATTACATCTCTATGCTAATGTGGTATGGCAACACGAGCTGATGTACTTACGTACGAAGTTCTACGTTGCATCTGACTGACTGTTGTGGGAGTTATGAATACATGAATATAACATTGTTTTGTTAAGATAAGACGTGTTTTAAAGATCATCTTACGTTTATTCGAATTTCTTGCCTACAAATACTACACAAGATTTGTGAGTACTACATAGATTAGTGGACATAACTTACTTCTGATTACATTCTCACTATATTCGGGATGTAGTGCACCGTATTCACTAGTATTATCTTTAATAACAAAATATCAAACTGTGTTTGTGTTTAAAAACGCTAGTTTTTTGTTGCAAATTTCCTGTACAATTTAGCTTCAAATGGAATTACTAACCCTAACGCGAATGATTTCCTTACCAATTCTAGAAACAATCGATAATTTAAATGAATAGCAAATCCTTAATCAGTTTGACTGAAGATATTTCTTGTGAAAACTCTAACATTTCAATAAATATTCTTTTATTGTTATCAAATATCTGTTTATATCATCTAAATTATCTCTTCCTATTTTCAGGTCAAAGATCCCGATAATGTCAATAGTTGTCCTACAGATCGTTCTTCATTTTCGGAGAAGATAACTTCTGATATATCTGCATTAGATTGTAAATTACCAGATCCACAGCAAAAAAGATGTCGGCGGCGCCGTACTTATTTCTCCCCAAAAGCTTTATCAATATTAAGTGAATTTTATGCAACAAATCCTCGACCAAAAGGTATGCTTACGTTATATATATATATATATATATATATATATATATATATAATTTGTACTATAAAGTAAGGAAGTTAAAATGTTGCATCTGTGTGTAAAGATTGTGTGGATAAACAATCCAAGTTGAATGAATAGTCGGGATTTCGTTCCTATTGAAGGTAGAGATTTTCAGCATTATATGAAACACTTTAGCTAGTTATCTCTCTTTGTAATTGAAAAAACCATTCCTAATTGTTTTGATATTATTAGGATCAATTCGGTAGAAATTAAAAATAGCATGTACTGTTATTACTGCCTATTCAATTTGTAAATTTCCCGGCTCTAAAAGAGGTCTTTCTGTGTAGCTTGTGTTTCTTGGCAAGAGTCAAGAATCCGCGAAAAGACTACAGTGTTGAACCCATCACAATCCAAGCAGCCTAATCTTTAAACGCAATTTCTACTCATTGGAATGTCGCTAAAATCTTGTTTACTATTATTATTATTATTATTATTATCATTATTATTATTATTGGCATTAACGAGACTCAATTTATTTAAAACTATGCAGTCGAACCTTGGTAATGATACATATGGACTTATGAAACGTTGGACGAACCAAAATTATACTCGTCAAAAAATTGTCATCTACATGGATTCGGCACTTCGTTTCTTTTTCCTTTTTAGTACAATAGCATGTTACTAAAATGTTTACCCCAAAAATATCTTAATTTTATATAATTCTTCGGCATCATATAATCTGCAAGTCTTCTATGATAACTGAAGCATTATTCATATTTTGCTTTGACTTTTAAATAGGAAATGTAGTATTCTATAAAACTATGAATTACTATTTTTTTTTCATTGTGTTTACTGTCATAATCCCGGTGAGTACCAGTATCTTCACCTGTTTTACTCTGTTATCATTTGCCAGGTACTGATTTCACTGAACTGGCATCAAGGATTGGTTGTGATCGAGAATCAGTTCGCGTTTGGTTCTGTAACAGACGACAATTAGACCATGATTACTCGCAAAAAGTCTGACGTGACTGCTCCAGTAGACTTTTTGTTATTGTTATTGAAAAAAAAGAATTATTTACGTTTTTATCTAATCCACCTTGTTTTATGACAAGACTATATGAATGAAACTCATTGTTTGGTAACTGACGTTCTTAATAACTTGTATACGTCCTCGGATTATCCGTCAATTGAGTTCAAAACTTGGCATTAAATTTCCTTATTTATTATTAAGAACACTAACCTGTACCTGTAGTAGTTTTAGACAATTATATTCCCCAGAGTAGCAAGATTTCGCTGTGTGTAAAAAGTGTCAACGATTAATGTGAAATCTGATTTGCATGCAACAACTATTATGATGCGCCGTTTCTGGGACTGATGCTGATACAAAAACGTCCTATAAACAAGCTCTCAGTCGGTTACTGAACAATAGACTAAGTGAAAGGGTAGGTTCAGTGCACTAAACCGAATCAAATGCGTTAGCACCCATATATGTCTACGCCTCCGAAAATGAGACTATTTCTTGGCCAGTAACATGCACTCGTCATTAAGGAGTCTTTATATTGACACATTGTGGCTTTACCATTGAGCGAATTTCGATTAGCCCAGCGTCAGTAACATTTAGCGAACATTACGAATGCGGTATATGTTACACTTAGCTAACCACCTGTAAATCATTCATTACTAAGTTATTCCGAGTATTTAATATTTTGGATAATGTATCAGTAATATTTATTCGAGTTCTTTTATTTTATTGTTCTCTGTCTGCACAAGCACATCTCGTCAACAGTTTGGGTCTTGACTATTTTCCGACGTTGTTAATAAATGCCATATTCTACGTTGCGGATTGTTTATATATTAACTGACTCATTTAGCTATTATAACACTAAGTATGCTTACTATTCAAATAAGGGTAAAGATTCTTTTACTTATCTTACAGGCCATTTTTATTGCATGACGTTGCCTTTTCATAAAGGAAGTACACTCATTCTATCACATTAGAAGAGTGAGTGAAACGTTTTTGTAATGGAATGCTTCATATCCTAATTCACGAAATGAAATTGTATTATTTTGGTTCTTCAAAGATACCAAATGTTCTAACAATGAACGCCAATAACTAATGATGAAAATACGTAATAGATTAGTCTGACTTTGTTAGTGTCATGTAATATGATATTCCGGAACTCTTAGCTCTTGTTTGGTTATATCAAAAGTTATTCGGTCTACTCTGGTACGTTTGCTTCGGTTCTCACTCCTACAATTACTCTGCGTGGTGCCCACACATTCATCTAGGGAAATAAGTTGGCAATTTAGAACCATGATTTCCGGTCATGACTGTTTTTATAATTTTTAGTGATACTTGTGTTATTTGAGTTAGTTGGTCGAAATTTTCTAATGGTTTGGTGTTACTTTTGAAACAATGCATGTTACCAACGAAACTTCTGTCTCCGCTCGCTTCCAGTCGATTGGTGTGCTGATCAGGCAGGAATGAACATTGGTCATGTCGACACACAAACCACAGAGGACCTTATGACTGAAATGAACATTTCCATGTGTATAAGAATCGAGAAAGAGATGTTATGGTTAGTGTATTATCGTAAACCTTTATTTTTATGCATCATTTAGAAAAACTGAATACAGAAACTATATGTTATTCAACAATTTGTTGAAACACCAGAAATTTCGTTGGTAACATGCATTGTTTCAATAGCATGACCAACTAGCTCAAATAACAAAAGTCTCACTAAAAACTGATTATACAAGGTCTAAGAAAGAATAGCAGTAATGACCAGAAATCACATTCCTACATAAACAACTAATTTCCTCAGGCAAGTGTGTGAACCTCCCGTAGAGCATGTCTTGATTATAGGCATACAGTAAACACCTAGTTCTCGTTACGCTATATCGTTTCTAACAACCACTCCTCCGATAACACAGGGTTGCCGAATAATAAATACATTTACTGTACAATTAAGTAGTTTACAGTATTTAAATCTCATATAATAATACAATACGGTTCCATACTGCACACTCCAAATCCTAGTTTCCCGTTGTATCTTGTCGAAATTGTAGACATATTGTGATGATTACTATTTCGTCAAATTTTTAGATCCGAATCTGGCATCGTGGGCTGGATGGATTAAATTAACCTTGGAAAATTATCTATCAATCCAACTGCGCCATCTCAAAGGATTTTGAGCCATGTCATCCAAGGTTCAATGGTTAGAGACCTTGAACGACATGGCTTAAAATCGTTTGCAATGGCGCAGATGCATCCATTCGTTGTATTCTCTCAAATCCTAGCCTGATTCCCTCATCATCTCCGTCTTCCTCGTTCTAACTTTGTCTCTCTGAGTTATACCTTAATATTCTCCATTACTGCCAATACTTCTACTATCGCTACCACTGTTGAATTTGAACTGACAGTCGCGTCTCTGTGCTAATGTGGTATGGCAACCTGAACTGATGTACATACGTACGAATTTCTATGTTGTATCTGTCTGTCTATCTATCAGTGCGTCATCGCGAAAAGTAGATTATTTAAGGTGGTTTTATGTTTATCACATAACGTTGAGGGAGATTTCATTTCAGCCAGTTCCATCACTGTTATTCAGATATGAGCTTATAGTTTGTCAGAGAATCTTGCATATCCAGGCGAATATATTCTTTTTCCGTTTAATAAACTCATCATTTTCGTGTAATGACATTCAAAATAATCGGAAGAGCTCAGTTCAACAAATGAATTCGTGCTCCGACTCAAATAATTATAGGTTTCATACTAGAACTTCAAAGTCTGACTTAAGCGAACAGCTGCGTGTCGAACTATGTGACCACCTGAATGCTGGGATAAATGAATCCGAACTAGAGAAGCGACTGATACAAGTTACTTGCACTTTTCTGATTATTAAAGGCTTCTGTTTTACTAATGAAGATGTTATTAATGACATACATGGTGTTGAGACACAACCTGATGTCTTGTTATCAAGTACGAACAAATCTATTATGCTACAACAATCTCACATTCCTTTTAACAAGAACGGTTCAATTCCATCCAGGCAGGTGAATAGTTAGAAAAGTGTCTTTAATCCTTCTTCGGATGTTAAAATTTGTCTAGTGTGGTGAACTGCGTCTTCGTGGCTTCGTTACGCTTGTAGTCAGGAATGTGGAAAGGTTGGACAGATACAAGTAGTTTAAAGCCACTTTCTACGAAGGCACTGAATGATAATGGATAAAAACGAGCTGGTTTGAGTGAGGTTGTGATGTATGTGTTGGATAAACTTATTGGTAAGTGACTGATATACCCGGTTAATACGGACAGTTGTGATAATCTTTTTGTGACATCACTAGAAGCAGTCGAAAAAACACCTGAAATTTACCTTTTGACGTAAGATACCCGGCTATCGTAACAAAGTTTTTTCACTGAAGATAAGCTACATAAATTACGACGGTCAAAGTATTTTCCAAAATATACCTAAAAGGTATAAAGTTACGAATTCCAATGGATGAAATCTCTTATGAGATAATTACTGATAATACACCGTTTTTGCTGTTCATATTTGAAGTTCTACCATTCGAAATAAATAATAATGATGATATTATAACAATGATATTGGATCAGTATTTGATCAGTATGACGAGATAGCACTCCTAGCAAGTGACTACAGAAACGTTAGGTTCCCAACAGAGTTTTTCTGTGTTTAATTTAAGTGTTATTGACGAAAAATTTTTTGCAATGGAAAAGGTTAGCAAGGCCAAATTTGTTGGAAAGTGTCAACTCGAAGGCGCTTGGTATTATTGTGTCCCTGAGTGGCCCGTAAGTACGGTTTATCTCACGTAATTGTTGCTCCATGGTTGTTTACTGGTAAGAGGATGCTCAAACAGAATAAAATAGTGTTTAGTGATAACTGAGTCTAGATTGACTATGATCGCCACTAAATATTCATTACTATCCCGTCACAAATCGTAGAAATAAATCCAGGATGTAATATTTATTTGAAGGACAAAGTAGCCGTTACTTCGAACAACAAGTTATGAAAAATGTCAGCAACGCAGAAAAGAATGTTGCACGCAAGTCAGTGTTTTTGGTACTGTTAAACAAATCGAGTACAATAGTAAGTGCTTATTTCATACCAATCGAGTTTCCTTCTCCTTAGAAATCTTCCACTACAAGAGAAAAGTGGAAGCTGCCGGGCACTTGTTTCGATAATCACTGCAAACAAATTAATGGTGCTTTATTAGAGAAAAATTATTCTAGATGCAAGAAGTAAAATGAAGTTTTGCACGATAACCTTCGAACTAGGGAGTACAGCGGTAAGGAGCAGTTAGTTAGGACATATATCTAGGTGTATGAATGTCGAACAATGGAAGAGAATTCGAAGTAGGTAAGAGTCTGTCTATGACAGTTGATATCATGAACATGAAGGTTATATATCAAATTGTCCGCCCTGATGGTGCTGAATCGGGTCAAGGTGATATTGTAGTTCATTCTGAAGATTTTGGGTCACATAATCAACCTCTTTTAGATACACTGCAGGTCCAGACGAGCATTTCAACCACTAGGGTATCAAATTCGATTTGGCTGACGCCACAACTAAGTATCAATTTATACAACATAATATAGTTCAGTATAAAACACAGAAACTCCAATATATGTGCAAAAAATAGAAACCATAACAGAATACAAATAATAACATCACAAAATGGGATTAAACAGAGTACCGAAATGTAGCACAGTATGAACATATTACAAATATATATATGGTGGGATTTTCCCAAAACATGGCCTTTAAATTGGATTCTACATGCATACCCACAACTTGAGGTTGACAACGTCGTCTCACCTCTCTCCATAAAAGAGACATAAATCTGCTGGATCTAGAACAGAGACAAGTGACGAAACGGATGATAGGGTTGAAGAATGAACGTTTCGAAGGTAGACTCCAGCATTTGGAATAATTCTCTCTTAGTTACAGGAAAATCAGAGGTTGTACGATTATCATGTATAACATGTTAAGCACTCCAAAACATCCTAACGTGAGTATCTCACCGATACATCGTCACCACACCCCTCGAGGCAATCCTCAAAACATTGCACACCAAAGAGCGAATATCAGGTTCGTGCACACGTTTTCTAATTAAGAATCGTTGCAACTTGGAATGCTCTCCTAACCGAGGTGACCACAGCCCTCTCAGTGAACAGCTTTAACAAGAGACTTGAAAAACACATACTCACATAAGTATTATCAACTCACTCGCGGACAAGCTTTGTCTGATGCATGTTTTGAGACCTGCTATTTGTTGGCACTTTAATCTCTCCAAATCGCTAAGTTAATAGGCCTCGCTAACTATCTCTGATTCCTTTCCAAAATAACAAGAATTGAGGTCGAAGAAATCAACTCTTTTACTCTAGCTCTTGTGAAAGATATTGGATATTGAAATTGTTATGATACATAACACTATGTCTACAAAATAAACAACAAATTTTCAAATTACCATCTGCTTAATATTACCAAATACCTCGAACCATATAGGAAGAATCAGAAGCGAGCATTAAAATACTCAGCCAGTATATACTATCTCTGGAATAAGACTGCATGTTGGACAAATAATGTCAAAAACTGGCAATCGGACAGTGGCATTTTTTACACTTTCTGATAAAAGTTTGGACACTACAAAGTTTTCAGAAAGCATAACTAGCCAGAATGTGTTGTAATTTTAAATATACTCAAAGTTTTTATGATAAAATATTTAGAGATTTCGGTAATGTAGATGCTATGGTTGTGAGGACATCAAATGACGGTAAATATTGGATTATTGGTCTTGCAAATGGCACAATTGTTGTATGGATACTTTCAGTTGATCTTAAGTTGGCTAACATTTTTTAGCTATTGTCCACTGAAGGGAGTGATAAGCAAACAAATAGTTTCTATACCTTGAACGCTGATGGTGAAACTCTACCATGTTCGGACCTGCAACCTGTTCCGAACCTTATCGGTCAAACTCAAGATAACTGTAATCTACTTTTGGCCGTATGTATGTCTTTGAAATTCTTTTAACTAATTTGTCTGTTTATTTTGCGTTTATTTTAAGCTTCCGGTTTAATTTCTTGAAGCTAGCATGTTTTTTAAAAAATTTGTTATATTGAAAATTTGTTTGTATTCTGAAAACAGCTCTTAAAAGTATAAATGATTGGGTTAGTCACATCATCACGCTTTTGCCGCTGAACTTTTCGGAATTACAGCTGTTGACACTCAATTCGCTTCACTACGTTTACAAATTTGTTTCAAAGTTATAGCATCACAACATTGGTAAATACTAACTTCTTAGTTAATACAAATGATGTGATTGAACTGAAACGTATTCTTAAATTCACCAGTTATTTTAATGTCATTAAGTATTTATTCACGTATTCGTAACTTTATTTTCAAAAGGAACCGTCAGCTACCCAACTTGACTTGATTAGAACATATATTTACCAAGAGGTAAACATTGTTGTGATTAGTATGGCTGGGATAATCACGGAAATCTAGCTCAATACTAGCTTAGGTTCCGTGAAAAGTAACTAAATGGAATAAACAATTTTCTTTGTAGCCTTAGCTTATTTCATTCAACGGGAGAATTTCTCACTTATATTTTGGAATAACAGGAATGTATATTCTGTGAGTTCGAGCGACAGACTCAAGTTCAGAACACACATTTTATGACATTTACTGTTCGAGTATGCTATGCTTAGTTTTTCTCTTCACTGTCTGATGGTTCTTAAATAAATGATAAAAATACTGCTGATTTCTATGTATGTTATCGTATAAGTACAAAGCACTCAACTAGCTCTACTTTAAATGCAGGTGACCGTACAAGCAATCGCTCAAGGAATATTCTAGGTAATTTCGTCACCTCTTGTTTTATGGTGACACTTTAACGTTAACTTTTTGGAACAGAGCAAACTTTTCTGAGCTATATTGACTTTTATTGAGTAATTAATCAATTTATTTATAAACTGAGTTATTAATTTCCTCTATTTACTAGCTAAATCTAAACACTTCAACTACATGATTTGCACATCTATTGAAGAAAGATATTCTAGCTGATCTAGTTACATTACAGATGTCATACTCTTAACATCCTTTTCACAGTATTTACTCAAATGTTCTATTTAAATGGTCGATTTTGCTCCTTATTAAACAACATCAGTTTACCACCAGTTGAGTTTCGAAGAACCACATTCATTCGATACTTTGTTTCTACCTAGGTAATCTCACACTTCCCTAAACTCTAATGTTTTAGTAATAAAACCTCACTAAATCGTCTATTCAGATCTATCTAATTTGAATTTCTAGATACTCAGTAACGCTTTTATTATGAACATAAGTCAGAAAATTACTACCACAATATGTGAAAATTTAAATCATTTGGGATCAAAGTATATTTCGCAATTTATCATCAAACTCTATTGCGGCTTTCGGTGACGTATTACAACGACAATGCGTAATTTATACAAAATTAATAATTTTAGGATTTAAGAACAAGGAACTAACCTCATACTTTTGCAATGTTTTTATCCTTTATTGTCTTGAAAAAGATGTTTCTGGTCATGCACGTTTATGGCATTACACAGGAGCGATGAAATCATCACGTCTTCTTGCAACAATTTCCGAAGAAAGAATCAGCAGTCCATCTGATGCTCCTTTGTCAGCCAACATAGAAAAAATACTAAATCAGATACTATGTTGTTCATGTTCATATGACGGTAAACGATTTGTGACTGGTGGGTCTGATTGTCATTTGAGAATTTATGACATGAAATCTCGAAAACGCTTACGGATATGTAGTTCAAGGTAAACAAAACCTCATTATATAATAATACTTTAAAAGTTTATGCTCTAAAGATCGTGGTGTTTTGATGTTAGAGTTTAGCTGACCGAAACAAGACCACTAATTTAACCCTTTTGTTTGGCATGTTACGGATAACAATTGCACTATGCAACAGAGTGTGTGGATTCAAAAATTGTGAACCTTTTAGTGCCAACTCCCTTATCCGACAGTATCATCCCCACTACGTAAACTGGAAGTCACAAACTCACAAACAAGATTGTGAGCGCAAGCCTCTGTGTCACTGATTTTGTGACCGTGATTAAAATCAGTTTCGAATGTCTTTTCTACGCTCCTCTGATGAATTACTGATAAAAACGTTCGTTCGCACAAAACCCTTCCCACCAATACAATTCAATACTTTACACTTTATATACCACTGATGATGTTAGAAAGTCCTGGACCAACCAATTAAAATAATTATTTACTAGTCTTCTTGCCAAGTGAAATAAACAAAAATTTACTTTACTCAAGTAGTTCACATTATTTGTGACGTAACATTCTTAAAATATCTCTGTTCCTTCATTCTTGAAAACGCATACGTATGAAACCTCGTAAAATCTCATTATATTCAAAGGAATGTGGCCTACAAAATTCCGTTGGCAAATACCTTTTCTTAATATACGCTGAAAAATAAATTATTGATCAGTAAACATCTTGACCTTATTAATCTTTATATAATTTACACTGATAAAATGTCATTACCTTCAAATTAGTACCACAACTAATATACAGTGTGCGATGTATATTCTCAGTTTGACATATTCTTGTAATATTTTGATCTTTGGTACCCTCAAAAGTTGCTACGACTTTCTAGAACATTGAATAAGTTATCCTCTAGTTAGATGAAGAGTTTAGGATAGGAATGGTAAATATAAGTTGTGAGCCACTTGCTACAGTTTATGAAAACTTTCTAATATAAATGAAATTCATTATTGAATGATTCTTTTACATATATATTTGTGGAATATAATTTGATTATTTCCTAATATATTTAATGTGTATTGTCTCGCAAATCATTTAACCCGAAAAAACCCATGATTTGTCTTCTCACAAAAGTTAGTACATACATTTATTAAACCACTCCAAAACGTTAAACTTAAAATTGTTTTCTTCATTGAAATGATATTTTTCGTGTCAATTCGATCTCAAGCTTCATTGGTTGATTATATTTTCGTTTGAATTGACTATAGCGAAGCAGACTCATGGTTGTTGAGGTTTATTCATTACAGTCATTAAGATTAACCTGATAACTCAGGACAAAGAAATATTATCTTCATTGTAAAGATGTGATAAATTCAAATTGCAACAATTACTCACTCAAAATTTCCATTATATAGTTAAAACAAAGTGTTCAGAAGACAATAAGAGTTGCTGTGTTTTTTATCAGGCTTAATGTTGTTTCCTCATATTTAAAGTTAAAATTAATTATTACATGTGTATATGACTTAAACTACAACTTTGTTCTGTGAAGTTTTCAGAATCAAATAAACGATATTATCAGTAAGGGTAGACAGATTCACAAACCAACTTAGATTTCCACAAATGTTTATAAATATGTAGTGTTTACAAACATGAAGCCACAGTCGCTTGCATACGATAAACCACAATAATTAAAGTATTTCTATTCTTCTTGATACTCATAAACAATACTATCTTGAAATGAACTTATTTTAACTGAAAGGATCACTTCTACGTTGTTTTTGATAACCCTATCTTCTTTAAATGTTTACTGAATTACTCTGGTAGTGCATATTCTTGTGGAGACTTCGAATAAGTTTGGCAGGAAGAATTATGTTATTTTTGATGTAACCAAAATCCTTTTCCATTAATTATGTCTGTCTTACTCCGGATATGGTTGAAATCTATTAGACGACACTTAAACAGTCTCAACGATTTATCAGAATGATAAATTTGATCTAGTGGATTTTGACTCAGTGATTTAAAGTTATCGTTATTGAAGTTTTGGATCGGAACAACTTTTCCATTCTCTTCCTTCTCAGTTGATTGTCCGGTCTAAGTTAGTTCGTACTGTAAACTAACTTTAGATTAGACAATCTCTATAAGTCTATCTATATTAATCAAATATACAGCAACAGGAGAAGAACACCTAGATTGAGTCTATCATATTGATTGTTTTGAGTATAGTTCTGTACATGGAGGATAGAAACCATGACATTTTTTTCGATTGTTAATAATGTCAGATTTAGTGAAAAAAAAGCATATAATAAACTTGGAAGGAACAAAAACCCTTCAAAAAACACTTTTGACTCACAAATATATTGACAAACCTAAACAATCTAAACAAACAAGAGTGGATATAATCAACTACACTATTGTAACTATTGATTAATAAATAAATCTAAATTTAATTTACTACTTTTTCATCTAATTTTGTGTGGACCATAAAGACTTACATATATTCGTTCTAATTAGTGTTAATAAATGGATACGCCTCATACAGGCAGTTTGTTTAACATAATAATGCAAACATACATTGGTGTGTTTATCATTTAATGGTTGCGTTAGATTCGACTTACGGCTCACTACTTTAATGGACTGTGATCTGACTCCAATTTAAACGAATGATCGAGTATGCGATGAAATAAATCTTTCCTTCAATTATCTTGTATGATACTTAGGCGAACCTCGTCTAGGCGATAACGGTAGTAAGAAGTCATATACAGTTTCGCAGATGAATTTATTTCATGCGTTTGTTTGCGCAGACAGATATGAGAAAGAAAAGCGTACTAGCAAATCGAAGTGACTCGGTGAAAGTGAGTGAGCCAACTAAGTGTGATGAAGAAAGACTAATCATTTATAGTCCAACAGTAATAGACTAGAAATGTATCATCAGTGAAATAAGCATGCACATTCATACTGAAATGAAACTATCAAGCGTTTGAGCAAATAAGAATAATGACTGGAACAGAAGAGATTAATTAATTTATCCGAAAGCTAGTAATAGTCTGATGCGCTAATTGTGTTGTGTCATGAAATGTTTATTTTTCTTTGCTGTTATGAGAAATATTTTAGCAACTAATCTTAACGTTTGTTGATTAATATTTTGTGAATCTATATGTATTTTAATTAAGTTTTACCAAAGATAAAATGGATGGACATGTAATGCGTATATGTGCTGTGAAATATCACCCACGTGGTGCTGTTTATGAAGATTATGTGCATATCTTTGTTACTGGTGGTTGGGATGATACAATACACATATGGGATGATCGGTATTTACATTCTTTATGGTAATTATTGATATTTTTTCGTTACAATAGTTGTTGAGAATGTTCTATTTTTCTTCCACTGAGAGAATATAACTTTTAGTTTATGTTATTGTATGTAATTCCTGTCCAAGGCTCATTAAATAGCTCAATAATATTTTAAATCATTTGATGTTTGCGTTAGTCTTCATTACATTAAGTAGGATTACATCCTCGTTAGTGAAAAGTTATTTATGAACCGAATACTTCCATTATTCAATAGTTTGACGTATAACCAAAGCAACGTTTAGACTGATTCTGTTTGTCAGCTTGTCTAGAAGTAACAGAAGATGGGTATTTTCCATCTACCCTTGTTATATTATTGAAGTGTATCCACTTTCGTAACATTTTAGTTCGATGTATATCACGCTTGCTTCTCCTTATGTGCATACAAGAACATCGATCCCAAATCTTTGATAATGCATAAAAACCTTGTTTTAAATTTTTTTAATTTAATTTTGTTCTTCAGTAAGTTTTGCTTTGCTTCAACACAAAGCTGCTTGATTGACCATTGAATGGTGGGATGATGTAAGCATGTTACTTATGCTTAAAATGTCATTAATGCTAATATTTTCACAATTTTCTAACTAGTAGAATTATCTATTTAGACATACTCATATTCCTGATTCCTATTCATTTATGAAAGCGTAATGCATATATATATATATATATATATATATATATATATATATATAATATTAAAAATTATTCACGACTTAAAACTTGACAATTTCAAAATTATTGAAATTTCCTTATTTTATGAAAATGTTGTTTTAACTTATATTTCAGTAATATTGACTGGTAATAAACTTATCTGAAATTAGTTTTCCTTAATAGAACTAAATTGATTCGATCGGATCATGTTTAAGGAGGAGATTCCAATGCCATAAATCACAATAGTTTTAATAACTAGATCATCCGACCCCTTTTAATATATTTCTAATATAAAATTCTTCCGCTAGTCAATGCCTCGGTATTTTATATACACATGCAAAGCACTCCACTATTGATACTTTAAATAAACAGGGAATTTTTACTTTGGCTACACTATCCCAATAGAATTTTAATCTGAATTTTCACTTATCCCTGTCATTCAATTAACACTTTCGATAAATAATAATCTTCCATGAAAATTCTTTTGAGAAAAGCTCAGAAAAAAGTGTATCATTTATAAACGTTTTACAAATACAACCCTATTGTTTTATATTCATCATGTTTATGAAATCAATAAAAATGTTTTTAAAAAAATATACTTTACTACTTGTTTTATATCTTTAGGGCCTATTATGGTCCACATATCTGTGGATCAGATGGATTAGAAATTGAATCAGAATCCAATCATATATTATCAAGTTCTTGGCGCCGTGATAAATCAATTTTACAAGTAATACATATTTATGAATATATATATATATAGTAACTTATTGGACACTATCATATTACGTAAACATAGATATAAAGCTAATGTAGCCTATTTTTTTCAGGCAAAGTTCACGTGGAGTAATATTATCAGTTATAATTACGATTAATGAGGTTTGATTTTCCGTTCAAACATATTGATCAAAATTTGAGGACTGAAACATTTTGCTATAAAGCATATGAACTGTATAAAGTCTTGCTGATATTAATTGAGTTAGAAGTCTCATTAAAATAATTAACTTCAATTAGTGTTCGTCGAAGTTGTGCACTATCATCCTTTCTTTTTAGTTTTTTCATAGATCTCCTCTAAAAAAATATCATACTTTCTTCAATAAACTACTCAAGAACTGATCTAACTGGAAGTTTATTTGTTGACTTGGAATAGGTCGATGACATAGTCCTGTTTTTGGAAGAGATTAACATAATTCGGAGTATTCGAACTGTTTTGTTTAACGATTCAAAAATAATCGTGATGTATTTCTCTCCTCCAAAATGCAAAATATAGCTTCAGGATTGTTTTTTATGATTGTCTAATCCTTGAAGTTCAACCATCCCACATTGACTAGTATCTGATGGAATCTTAACATGGGTTCAAAAAACTCGGTTGGTTTTTGTTTACATGAGTTACTTATGGCTTAGGCATAGCGTTCGTCTCTCAATTGAAGGATGAATATATCCAGTAGTTTGCTCTGTTTTATTTCGAGGACGTTAAACATGATCATTAAGAATATGGGATATTCGTTGATCAATCGTTATTAATCATAGTTATCTTCGAAGCGTTTTTTGTATATTTTTGGACTATCAGGTGCGCAATGTTCAAGTTAAGAATGTGGTACAAGATTGCGGATCTTTATCAACTGATTGTAGTTAGGTTTTGGATTGCATATACCTGAGCAATACAAACCTTAACGGGTTATTTTCTGGTGAAGAACTAGCGTATAAGAAATTTAGGGGGCAGACCAAAACATAGTATCAGCACATGGACTGAGTAACTACTGATCTAGGACACGTTTGAACGCATGGACTACTTGACCAGGATCTGTTGGACGACCATGAACAAGGATTAATGACATTGTTTGACACGGGCCAAAATTGGTCACAGTGGTGCATATTCAGTTACATTATCTTCCTCTATACTTGAAGTTCTATTTCTTCACACATGAATACCTCAGATGATTTTCGAGCCATATTCTCAATATTAAGTACTTTTTCATTATTATTGCTACTACAATTATTTCAACTCTGGTGACATTCTCATTAATTTCATCTTACTCCACTAATATGTAGTGATAACTTGCGTAAACTCACATTCATACCAGGCTTTTCGTTGATTATCCTAACCGAGTGACTGGTAAATAAGTAAGCGAAAATGAACCGTGAAAGTAAATAATTCATTGTTCCCATTCGAGGCTAGATTTAAAAAGCGCAGAAATGAACGATTTTTGAATCGCGCTTGTAGGCAGTGCCAAGAATCTAAGATAACAGGAACAAATATGGTGAAAATTCAAATAACGAATGATCTTTATTTCCAGATTGCTAATAAACATGTTTAGAATTACAAGAATTTTAAAATGAACATATAGATCTGCAAACGGCTGGGTGGATTACAAAGTAACTGGTCAAATGTTATTTTTAATAATAGCTTTCCACAAAAACACTATATATTTGAAATATTGGCCAATAGTGTATTCCAGGACAAAAGTTACTTCCTAATCTGAACTCATCAGCTTGATGTACTTCTTGATGTATCTTCTAAGACTTGAACCCCTCGACCATCACTTCCAACGCCAGCATACTGTTAGGCTACTGAGTTTTGTTTCTCACCAACTTGTTCAAATATTTTCATTACTATTATTAATATTATTATTATTATTATTAAAGAGCCTATATACGGATAAGAATGAGTCACTTTTATTCTAAATATTGGCAATAAATATTATTTTAGGTTTACATAATTTACAAGTATATGCCAATAACTTATATTTTCTTTGGAAAAAAATCATGCTCTTACTTGATCAGTTAATACTATTCATTGGTATCGTATAGATAAGTCTAAACAATAAGTATTTACTAGACTTAATTACAAATTTCAACTAGTCTAACAACCATTGTTTACCACTGAATCGAACGAAGAATTTAGCTCACAAAACCATTGACTGTCATAAAAAAATTTTATTAATTAGACAGTATAAGACAGTTTCATTAAAAAAAAGTGATAGAAACAATGTTTTTAAAAGAATATTAACTATGATACGAGTACATCATTGTGCGATTCTATACAATACTGAAATGTACTGAAATATATTTTCGATTTTTACACATTTGAAACCATCAATCAATCATTGTTAGACCACACCATTAGAAACCTGAAAGCACTGGACGGCCGTTGATGATGAGTCCCATACCAGGACGAAACGGCCGTCCAGTGCTTTCAGGTTTCTAATGGTGGTCTAACAATGATTGATTGATGATTTCAAATGTGTAAAAACACTAATCTCCATAACTCTAATTCAAAATATTTTCGATTCAATGAAAAAAAATAGAAAAAATCTTTTCAATATTATACTCTGGCCGTTTAGAAAGGTATTTATGAGTTGAAGAAATTTTATGGTAGTCTAAATCAACATTGAACTACTGATAATGAAATACAGCAATACTACTGAATATCTGTAAGAAACTTTTGAGCAAGTTATATCCTTTGTAAATTATTGAATTCAATTTTAAACATAAATTGTTTTCACTTATCTACATAAGGTTTGGAAATTTAATGAAGAAATTATGGTTGAATTTTATAATGTAGCTGAACAAAGAGGTGATGAATTGTCGATTCCATCCGGAAAGGAAATGATTCATAATCAAACTGAAGATTCACAATACAGTAATCCAGTAGCTGAGATACCTCAAGATGTTTATGATGGACCGAGTAAAGTAAGTGAGTTAAGTTGGTGGTTGGTAAATATTTAACAATATGTTCTAGATCAAATGAAACGACATTATTTTTTGTCTTTTTAAATGCTTATTAGAGATTTTTATGTGAAAATTAGAAATAGGCGGGAAATAATTCAGATTGATAAAATATGAACTACAATGCTCTTAATATTTGTTAACTTAGCGAATTCAAGTAATCCACATGGATAGACGAAAATACCTCTCGAATATAGAAAATAAAATTGAGATTAATTAAAGAAAAATTTCAAAGTAACCTTTAAATTCCTATGGAAAATTTTCCAGGAACCCATACCTAGACTGGTAGAAAGTCTTATTTTTTTTTAAGTTCAAAAACAGTTTATTCTTCCTTTGAACCTGCCTTGTTAATAACTAATTCATGTTTAACACTAGCGGTGATATGAAAACTTTCTGTTCGCCTAATATTCTAATCTTTCTCTCACATTTTCAATTATCACTTTTAATTTAAGTGATCTTTCCTTGTTTCATATGAAATGAATTGTTGGGTGTGGCTGTAATCAGACTCAACGAAATTTGTTGCGCGAACACATCATATACTTTTCACACCAACTCTGTCTTAGCATTACACTTTCGGAAATTTTAGAAAGGACTAGTTGATTTTTCATAAATTCGGAATGATGAATTTTTCAGTGTTCCTATAATTCATAAAAGCAGAACATCACTGCTTACTTGTCATCTTTAATTAGAATTTTCAGACTAAATCGAAGTGAACATTAATATGTGTGTTATATCCGGTACTCATCCAATTTTCTATTCATTTAATCTATGAGTGCTTCATATTGGAAAGTAACATTCACTGAAAAATTTCAATTCAAGGGCACAGAGTTATCTGAAACTCTTCCACGAATAAACAACCATTGTACTACTAGAAAGTCTGAAATGAAATCACGAATAGAAATCTCACTTGGTCAATTAGAAAATGATCGATGCTGGACATTGAAAATGTGACTGATAAATGATCAGCCTAATTCATTTTTTGTTGAATAATAAATTAGACATCATATGACTAAAATATTAAAACACGTTTAAGGTTTAACACGTATGAGAAAGCATTGACAGAGTATTTTATTTGAATAAGTTTTTTAGTGCAAGCGAAAACAATTACTTGTCAATGACTGAATATATTATCTAATATGACAAAACAAATATATAGGTTTGTAGTAAATCTTACAACAAAGAGTTAATTTGATTATTTTCAAATAAGCCAAACACCAAAAAGAACATTATATATATATATATATATATATATATATATATATATATATATATATATATATATATATATATATAAGGTCAACGATAAATAGATGACTAGAATTGTATATTGTTCCTATCTAAAGCCAATCTGTCATTTTTTTTTAAACAAAAGTACCAAAAAAGTAATCTAATTGATGAATTAAAAGGACATGCCATTGATATGCAATGAATGCCTAGTGTATTAATTATTTTTATTATAGTATATGATTCATTTTAGATTTTCAAAGTTAATTCAGATGCAATCAATTCTTTCATTGTATATTTAGGGTTATGTAGCGAAATGGCTTGGGTCGTACTACGTAGCCTTCGGTGGATCAGATGCAAATATGCTGAAACTTATCAATCGTTTCACATTAAATGTAAGTTTTTCAATTTGTTTGATTTCCAATACGTTCAATCTTCAAGATGCGCTGTAACTTTGTTGGGCGGGCCATTGGCAACATTTACCGAAAAGGTTCATATGTAGTCACTAGGCTGTTGTTCTCTCAGAAAACCAAATCCATGTTTTTTTTAACTTTTCATTTAGAAACACTAAAACTGACCACATATTAGTGGCTTTTAGAATGTTAGAAAGAACTTCTGAGAAAATAGCAGCCTTTTATTTTGTAGATAGTAGTTCTTGCTGATAAGCATCAAAATTAATATCCGTCTCCCTTATCTTTACCTCAGATTATATAAATCCTTGCAGTGTATAGTAACTTTGAGTCATATAAACTGAATGTGCTACACAAGTAATAATTA